TTTTGATTGCCTATTTAAGTAGTCTGCCCTAGGTTCCACACTAGTTGCCGTACCTATAACCCAACTAGGAGGTTACACATATAATATGTTGATCCTACCATTTTGTCACACTTTAAGTAAAAAAAAATCAAAAAAATCAAATGAAAATAAAAAAAATCAAATAAAAATAAACTATATATGGACTAGCCAATATCTTGAAACTGGTTAGGATCAAGTTGAGTCTTAGCTCTAAGTCATGGTCATGGATATAAACCATGGTAATTTATAAGTTCTAGTGGTAAGTTACCAAAATAGTAAATTACCAACAAAATATCGTAAGTTATCATGCTAACTTACCATGAAAATAATCTTGCCGTGGTTCAAGTAATGATTCTAGATAAACCCAATTAGCTTCAAGTCATGGCTTTGCAGCATAAAACTAAGCGAATAATGTCCATAATTAAAACTGTGACCTTAAAGATGAATAAAACGCCTAATAATTTCTAGTAAAATGCTTGGCGATAAGAATGCATTTTAGATTAAATATAATAATAGTCATCAATATTGTAAATAAGTATAAAAAGCTATATAAAATGCAAAAAAAAAAAAAAAACACTCGTCCTTTATAAAGGTTTCTCCATTTAATTTTGAACCCACTTAAATTGTATATTGCGAGTAGAAATTTTTTGATCCACAAATTTTGAAACTGCAATAAGTATCAGAATAAACTCTAAATTACTGTTGACGACTATTGCATATAGTGCTTAAGAATATCGCTTTTAAATTGAACAGTATCTGTCAATATTCACAAATCCAGAGATTACGATATCATGCTAGTGGAATAGGTATTTATGTGAAAGGATATTATTTTTAGAGATACAGTATACAGTAATTAACAGTAATACAAAAGAATATGTATGAGTGCTGTAAAGGAAAACCTACAATCAGTTTTCAAGTATATTTTGTATACAGTTGGTTATCTGTGTTCTGTTTATGTCTGATGATAGATTTACTATAGACAGCACACAGATAACTAACTATACACAAAATATACTTGAAAGCCCAATTGTAGGTTTTTCTTTGACGGCACTCATATGATAAAGAATTTTCTTGATAATTATTAATCCTAAAGATCATACCAGATCTCTGCATTACCATCTATAATCTCCCGATCACTATATCAAGATTACGGGAAGATTATTATTACTAATCTACTCTTGGGAATTTTAAGACCTTAAATCGAACTCACAAAGAAAAAAAAAGCATTGTTAGAATACTATATGACTACTTTAACATTAGATACAAACATGAGATAAAAGAAAAATGCCTATCTTATCCAGTTACTATAAACCTAAATTTGACACACTGCAGCAGCTTTTCTCTCTTATTCAGCTTATTCAGGTAATAGTATGTCTTTGTTTCTTTTTGACATTACGATAATCAATTCTGAATCTGATTTCTCTTCATTATTCGAATTGTTTACATCACCTGCTCTTGAGATTCTAAGAACAATTTCACTATTGTTGGATCGATATCTCCTGGACTATATAATTTTTAAAAAAAGTCAAAAATATATATATAATTGGAATTCAAATGATAATAGTAATCTGCAAGCATAAATCATACTTATCTTAAATATGAATAAACGTATAAATAAAGGATTGCTAGAGATTATGTATAACGTGAGAATTTTGACTTCACCAAGACAGCCAGGAAGTTCAAATACGTGCTGAATGATAGCAATAATAGTATAATGTAACATTAGGCAGACGCATGTACAGCATATGCATATATGCATATGCGCGCCTGCCTATTACTACTGTTCAAGGCTTCGATATTACGTTGTTGATATTATTGCCTTTTGGTATGTAGTTGAATTTTTTTATGCTCTAGCATCTTGAATTATGAATATTTTTATATAAAGTAAAAAATTTTCTTACTTTTTTTCTTCAATTGGATTTTTCTTAAACTCTT